CTAGGTGAGCTGGACAGGGCCGTAGAAGGTCCTTAACCCATCAGCAGGACAGTATCTGCTCCTTTGTGCAAGAAGGAACAGGATGAGCACTGCCAGAGCCTTACAAAATTACCTCCAGCAGACCATTGATGTGAATCTCTCTGACCAAACAATCAGAAACAGACTTCATGTGGGTGGCCTGAGAGCCTGACGTCCTCTAGTGGGCCCTTTACTCACTACCCGGCACCATAGAGCTCGATTGGCATTTGCCATTGAACACCAGAATTGGCAGGTCTGCCACTGGCACCCTGTGCTTTTCACAGATGAGAGCGGGTTCACCCGGAGCACATGTGACAGACGTGAAAGGGTCTGGAGAAGCCGTGGAGAAGGTTATGCTGCCTGTAACATTGTTCAGCATGACTGTTTTGGTGGTGGGTCAGTGATGGTCTGGGAAGGCATATCCATGAGGGGACACACAGACCTCTACAAACTAGACAATGGTACCCTGACTGCCATTAGGTATCGGGATGAAATCCTTGGACCCATTGTCAGACCCTACGCTGGTGCAGTGGGTCCCGGGTTCCTCCTGGTGCATGACAATGCCGCTCTCATGTGGCAAGAGTATGCAGGCAGTTCCTGGAGAATGAAGGATTTGATACCATTGAATTGTCTCCACACTCGCCTGTCCTAATCCAATAGAACACCTCTGGAATATCATGTTTCGGTCCATCCAATGCCACCAGGTTGCACCTCAGACTGTCCAGGAGCTCAGTGATGACCTGGCCCAAATCTGGGAGGAAATACCCCAGGACACCATCTGTTTTCTCATTAGGAGCATGCCCTGATGTTGTCAGGCATGCATACAAGCACATCGGGGACATACAAAGTACCAGTTTGAGTTGCTGCAATAAAATTTCAGCAAAATGGACTAGCCTGCTGCATCATTTTTTCACTTTTGATTTTTTTGGTGTCTTTGAATTCACTCCTCTGTAGGTTGATCATTTTTCATTTCCATCAAACGATGGGGCATCCTTACATTCCTAACACATTACCCAGTCCATATCAGTATAGATATCCAGCATGATATTTTTCCCCATTGAGATCTGATGTGTTTTCAAGCGTTCTTTTAATTTTTTTGAGCAGTGTATGAATTAAGCACCCTCACCAACACTGGTATTTTTATGATTGTAAAAAAGATTTGAATGTGATTCTTATATTTGATTTTACTTTGTATTTTGACAGATGTTTGACTTCTATACAGTACCTTTAAAAAATCCAAGGTAGTGGCATTTTAATTGTTTGTATATCTACTTATTCATACCTGATCACTATTGTAACCTGTATTACACCTGTTACTATAATATTGTTAACCTTATCCATGAATTATTTATGGAGATATAGAGTTCATAGGTGAAATATGGTAGAATAAAACGATTTTATTTAGGCCTCCTAGTAACCAATAACAATCAATAAATTGGCAGTAACTTGGTGGAGCAATGACATTTCAGCCACATTTTTGTTCACTGGTAAGGTGGCTATGAAGGTTTGTTTTTTAATGCGTCTTAACTGAACATCTGTTCAGTGAATCAAACAACTCAGCCAATGAGTGACTCATGTATTCGTTAGCTTGGATATCCTTTAAATGTGACCTGTTACTGACCTGATGTAATAAACTTACTGTTTTGTCTGGGATTTTGATGAAATTCTGATTGCAAATCTGCCTGGAACTTATTCATACTGAAATATTGGTGATGCACAATGTGTACATTTTTTAAACACTTTTCAGGTTAAAAGGCTAACTTTATTCACAGTTTATTCACAGCTTCCAGCAGTCTGCTTTTAACCACTAGCCTACTGGGCACTTATACCCCCTTCCTGCCCAGGCCAATTTCCAGCTTTCAGCGATGTTGCGCTTTGAATGACAATTGCGCGGTCCTGCAATAGTGTACCCATATGAATTTTTTATCATTTTTTGTGACAGATAGAGCTTTCTTTTGGTGGTATTTAATCACCTCTGGGTTTTTTATTTTTTCTTAAACAAACCAAAAACCACTGAAAACTTTGAAAAAAAAATTTTTTTCTTAGTTTTTGTTATAACATTTTGTAAATAGGTTATTTTTCTCCTTCACTGATGTGTGCTAATGAGGCTGCAGTGATGGGCACTGATAGGTGGCACTGATGGGCACTGATGAGGAGGCACTGGTAGGTGGCAGTGATGGGCATTGACAGGCATCACTGATGGGCAATGAAAGGCAGCACTGATACATGGCACTGATATATGGCACTGTTAGGCGGCACTGACTGGCATTGATAGGCGACACTGACTGGCACTGATAGGTGGCACTGATGCACACTGATAGGCGGCACTGACTGGCACTGATAGGTGGCACAGATTGGCATTGATAGTTGGCACTGACTGGCACTGATGGATGACACTGAAAGGCAGCTCAGATGGGCACTGATATGTGGCATTGATGTGCACTGGTATGCACTGATATGTGGCATTGATGTGGCACTGATAGGCACTGGCACGTGGCACTGATCGGCACTGACAGCTGGCACTGATGGACTTTGACAGGTGGCACTGCTGGGGCTACACTGATCATCAGGGCACACTGATCATCAGGGCCCTGATGATCAGTGTACATGTCCCCTCCATGGAAAGCCGATTACCGACTCTCCTCTCCTCTTGAGCTGTCAGCATGACAGGCCGGGCGGCTAATGGTTGCAAAGACCTACTTTTCCACTGTGTCCATACCAACAAAAAAATACCATTTTGTGCTAGTAGTTTATTGCACACTAATACATGAACATAGATTGACTTTAGTCCATTTTAAGTGGATCTGCACCACTGGGGCCCAGTACTGTCTGCCTGATATGTGAATGTTGTTGTGGTAGGAATTGTCTTAATGGAGCTGGTCCCAAGTGTTACACAGAAATTGTATAATGGTTTGCTGTGTATTTTAGGATAAATCCAGTTTTTAAAGCTTGAGGCAAATGTGAAATAAAGTCCCAGCAGGGATTAAAAAAAAAACACCAGCTCTTGCTACAATACCATATTTTTACTCCTGTCAAGCCTCCCATAGAAATAAATTTCCACCATTAAGTGCCCTTAGTCTTTTGGGATGAATGACTTGTGGGATTACTCAACCCAGAAGACTGAGGACATGCTGTGAGTAAAGGGTGGTAAGTACCTTCCCTAAGAGGACATCACCACAGGATCTTACACTCACAGGCAGAGAGCAGTGCTCATGGGCCAGACTCTTAAAGTGTTACTAAACTCAGAACAGTAAAATCAGTCTGTATATGCAGGAAAGCATGCTTGTTATATGCACTGTGTAACCTAAGGGGTTTAAACTCTGCCTCCTCTGTCTTCTCTGATCTTCCCCTTCCACAGTCCCCAATCCATCTGCTGAGAATACAGAGCCCTAGGAGTCACTCTGCACATGCTCAGTTTAGTGTATATTGCTAGAGAGTTTTTTTTTTTTTTTTTTTGTGGGGGGGGGGGGACTGTGCATGTGGTCAGTGCAGGGCCAATCAGCACTTTAATCAGCGCTTGGCCAGACACTGATAGAAATCACAAGACTGCTATATACTGCTGATATTTTAGCAGTTTAAATTTACTAAAATAATTGCATTTCCATGTTGTGTGTACTGTGGGAGACCAGATATAGTGAATGCAGGGTCCTGGGTTTAGTAACACTTTAATCAATAAGCACAAACCATCTCTAAAGAAGATCCAAAGATGAAAAGGACTGTGCGCCTCACATGCCTCACATCACTGGCCAGAAGACATCTGGAAAAGGTAAGTATAAAAGCAAACAAAAAATACTGTTGGTGACCTTTGTGGTGGCTCTTTATTTATTTTTTTCTGTCTTCACTCTTCTATGTTTTTATGTTTATATTCCTTAAATATTCTAATATTACTACTGCTAGACTAACAGCAAACATATTAGGTTTACCAATATGATTTGTTAGAGCCTTAAGAGACACATATACTAGAATCACAATTCATTCGCAGCAATATTGGATTTCCAGATGCCCAAGCATCTTCTGAGACTGTGGGATCTGCTGGACTGCCTTGATGTAATGAATGGTTTTAAACTAACATTTTACACACATGGGGACCTATTCTGATTTCTGAGTTCTTCCAACTTCACCAGCCTCACTCATGAAGATCTGACATTTTGTTCCAGACATTTGTGCAGCTCCTGTACCAGACAGTTGCACACTTTACTTGAATTGGTGTCTCTCCTTATCACTTGTCTTTGAGTGTGCCCCCATCCTGTGACTGGACAGTGAAAGAAGAAGTAACACAGTGATGAGCTCATCTCTGTTGCACTGCTTTCTCTCCCTATCAGCTTGTCAGCACATATTGGCTCCTTGTGTTGCCCCTCCAGTGCACACCAGCACTGCTGTAAACAGTCAGCAAGAAGCTGATACAAGATCATATTCAGGTACTTACAATGCTTGCACTTGTAGGCAATTGGTGTCTGATACAGCAGGCCAAACCAGCACATACAATGCAAATAGGGCCATGTTTTGTGCCAGTTGTTATCTATATTAAGGTTAGTCAAAAGGTTTGGGCTGCTACAGTACCTTTACCCATTCTGTCTAATTTATTCCCTGTTTTGCAGTAAGTTCACTGCCTGCTTATGTTATGCAGAACATTAAATAAGCTCTATAGGTACAACAATGCAGACAGTAGGCTAGAGGAGTAAGTGGTCCATATGGAACATTCCCTGTTGGCTGCATCTTCCTTTTAACAGTTAAAAAATGAGATGCCTATATCACATGATCGTTCTCCAGTTGAATTTGCAGTGCATTCCACATGCAACAACTGTCCATTCAATTGGTTAAAATCAATGCATGTTTTCACATATCCTTTTAAATGGATCACAATAGTACATTTACCTAACTAACCTAAAGACCAATTTAAATTTAACATGATTTTTCCAACCTCTAGACATGGTCTGGCTTTGATCAAGAACTTCTCTTGATGATGTTGTTAATTTTATTATATGTTTCCTTTTCCACCAGGCAAGCCAGTAGGATATGGATACAGCAGTCGACGTTCTCATCACAGAGGAATAGTGGATGAATGCTGCTTTCAAAGCTGTGATCTGAGGAGGCTAGAGATGTACTGTGCTCCTGCCAAGCCAGCAAAGTCAGCGCGATCTGTACGTGCTCAGCGTCACACTGACATGCCAAAAGCCCAGAAGGTAATTTAGTATCAATGTGAAGGTGGTCTAAGACAGGTGCTATGACTTTCTCAGGCTATGGTTACATAGAGCCTCTCATGCCTCCAGTGGTATAATTAAAAATCTAAGATTTCTAATTCTACACCATTATCTCAGTTTAGAAGTCAGAAACTTTGAGAATAGTTCTGATTTTGTTATACAGGACATTCAGTGAAAAATGTTTTCCTATCTGTCAGAAAAGCATAAATCGCAGAAACAAAAATCCCTAATATGTACAGAGCACTAAGGGAAATTAGAATGATCTTGAGTCAACTTTATTTTCATGTTTTAGAGTTCATGGCTTTTAAACTGTTACATTTTTATCTATATGTACAATCTTTGTTCAGCAAAAAATGATTTAGTACACAATCAAGGATTCCCACGGCACCAATACATTAGCTAAATAAAGAGGACAGCTGCCACTGCCTGCCCTAAAGTTCAGTTTCTCTGGTTGAAACCCTCAAATATAGTTGTTCTATAAGGTATGAGTCATTCGTGTGACTCATTTACTGGCATATGTAAATTCCAGCTTAAGATATAAGTTCTATAAACAATGACATTATTTCAACAGAAGGGCAAAATGAGAGAATAATTGGCTCCAACCCCTGAACAGAAGAATGCAAAATATTAATAAGCAATCTTTCTTTTTTTTTTTTTTTTTTTTTAAATCCTCACCAAAATATATAAAAAAACATGCACATGAGCACTACACATTCTCTTCAAATAATAAGAGAATATTTTTTATATAGATGATATAGGTAATATATATAGATTATGTTTAAAAAAAAGTAACTAGGGCTGAGCTTGGAGTTCGGGTCAGTTTCATGGTCGAGTGCACCCAAGCTGTTCGTATTTTGCCATACAAGTGAACTAAATGGGCAGATATAGCCATTTCACCCATCTGCCCGAATCTCTGGGTCCTGCAACTGCAAGTCATTCATTTAGCGTCACCACTAAACAGCTTCTGGCCACCTGCTTGCTAGTTTTCAAATTCTTTCAAATTGTAAGCAAGTCACCTGGCATCAAGGGTGCCGTCATTAACTAAATATGATCATGAAAATATTTGGTCAACAACTGCCCCTGAGAGGACATCACCAGCCCCCAGCCAGTTTACTAACATTCACCTACTGGCTGGGGAGCTGTCATATGCAGCCCGAGTCCAGCCAGAGTCAAGCAGGAGACAATCATTGCCACATGTTTTACTTGTGTAGGCAGGTCAGCGGAGTGTCTTGATTGACAATGGATCGACATCACTGGATGACATGCTTAACATTAGATTTACGTTGTGTGGAATTTTTTATATAACATAAACCTAAATAATTAAATTTACTTCAGAATTGTTTTTGTAAATCAATAACAAGGGGTATTATGTATAATACCTTGTTCTCATTCAAGTAGGCAGTGGAAGGATATCTGGAGGCATTCTTATTCTAAAGGGGGCTTTCAGATTCCAATAAGTCCCCCCTACAGAAACCCACATTCACTGGGCCAGGGATGTTGGGATGAGGCCCTTGTCCTCTTCAACAAGGTGAATGCAGAGAAAATCGGACATTAGCATATTCAGAGGGATATCAGTGATGATAGGCTGCATACTTGGCTGAGTACAGGTTTGCTTAAAAGAGGCACTGATTTATAAAAATATTTTTTAAATATCTAAGCCATAGCATGCAGATTTATGTCATTTCAGTAAAGGTTTATATTTGAATTATTTTACAGAAGCATAGGAAAAGGTGAGTCACTTCAAAATTTGCTTCATGCACTTCATTTGAGTGTACTTAAGTATGATAAATGCAAGCTGCAATTTTTAACTAAGAAAGTTGCTGGGTCAGTATGCCTGGCTGAGACTTCACCATGATGGCAGAATTTGCATGATAATGCTGCTTTATAAATAGATGGCTTGTGACAGGTTTACAGTGAAGGCTTAAATTAGGAAGGGAGTAATGTTTTACATATAAACTACTGCAAGGATATAAAAATTAAAGTGTGAAAGCAGTAAATTCCAAGTTAAAAAAAAACCTGAAAATGCATTTTTCAAATGCAAAGAATAGCAAATGGAACACAATAATAAAAAACACGTGGGATAACCCTGTAGACTAGCTATTCTCAACTAGACTTTCTCCAAAGGTTTCTAGGGGTTTCCTGAGCTGTGGCTGATTGATCTCCCATTTGATAATGTTGGCATATATCTGGGGTCAATAGCACTTAGAAGAGACGGTGGCATAACACCAATACTCTATCATTCTATAAGGATGGTACAGTATTCTAATTACAATTGTAAGGGGGGCATTCTTCCCACTGACCATGGCCACTAATGCAAAGTGCATGTTTTTCACTAGCACTGGAATTTTTTTTAGTAGGAGCTTCCCTAGATCTGAAAATTATTTCAAGAGTTCCTCTGGGGTAAAATGTTTAAGAAGGCTGTCTGTTTTGTTGCGGTAGAAAATGACACTCTAAATCAAAGTTGCTTGGCATAAAATTACTTTTCATAATAATACACAAGTTTTGTTAATAAATGTATGAATTCTGGTACTGAATCATCTATATTAAATGTGAACAATTACTGCATCATTTACCAGTGATGACGCTCAAATCCTTTTTGGATTTGAGTTTGGATTACTTATGTAATGCAACACATTAATAACATGACATCTACAGAAACTGTGCAATTAACCACTAAAGTCAAGAAATGTTCTGTAGTCTAAGGAGTTCCTAGTCTTCAGTTGGAACTGCTTAGGGAGGTATGAATTTTATTGAATGATATGCCAAGGACTGCAGCACTTAGGTTTACCTTTTTGATGGCACCTGAGAGGCTACCAAAGCAGAGACTTAAAACCATCAGATCAAACAAAAACTTAGTCCAAAAACTAGCAAAGGTTGGGGCAGTCAGTAAATGACCCAATAAAAAGACAACCAGAAAAAAGCCAGTGTCATAACCAAAGCAAACAAGATTCGTTAAAAACAGAATGTGTTTACTAGCAAGAACTTTTGGTGCAGACACTGCATAATGTGCACATTTAAACCACAGCATCTGACCCAAAAGGAAAAATGCTAACATGAGAGATGCCCATGTAGTGCTGGTACCTGACCATGGATGGTGAGTGAGTACAGTAGCCCTCCACAAAATGTTTAGTCAAAGTTGAATGTATTTCTTGCTTTCAGCCCTAGGATTTTATTTTAAGTCCAATTCCCTGCCAAACAACCAAACACCTAAGTTGGCTCTGAGAGATTTTGCAGTCCAAGTTTTTTTGGAAGTTTTTAAATCCAAATTTCAACACAGATGTTACTACAAGTGGATCAGAAGGGGAAAATTCACAGAAAAGTCAATTCAGAATCACAGATCCTAAACTGTAGCTAAATCTCACATAAATACCTTTTTAGAGCACTGTAAGTAAAAAGGATTGCTTGTTCTGTTAAAAATACTGTTTTATTCTTCTTGTTTATTTTCCTGCACTGTGCCCATCCGGCAGACTCTACTTGCATTGCAAGTAAAGTTTTTCTTACCTTAGCAAATGTGTTGAGTATTCACTTTGCAAATAACAGCTCATCAGTTGGTTTTGCTTGAACATGACTAGATGATGGAAATCAGCAGAGCTTAACCTCATTAACTAAGCTAAGGGAAAATTCCCTTGCAAAGTGAACAGCCTATTTGCCTTTAATAAATCAACCCTTTTGCAGAAGCCTCCTATGGTTGTGTACACAATGCAACTGAATGAAATATTGTTTATTGTGGTGGCTACATGAGAACATAACAGTGTATCGTGCATTGTTAACCTTGTTGGCAGCAAGAATAACTTAGAAGGCCTAGAAAGAATGAGGGACTGAGTGAAAAAGTCAAAACCAAATTATCTGCTGCTTAAGGAAGAAGATCAGCCTAGAGAATCAGAGATATAAGCTTGAATGAGCTGCTTCAACATGTTCAATTTCACCACTGAATTCTAAGTGGTAGTCAAAGGAGACACCTACCTCAGTCTTTAACAATAAGAACAAAGCTCTTCAGATATAAGTGGTAAACTGCACCCTCCGAGCTGAATTCATATGGAGTGCCAAAATGCAAATCTGATGACCTGAAATAAAACAACAATTTAACCCAGGAAGAATGTTTTCTACTTTCAGATAGAAAGGACTACATGATTTAATTAAAAAAGTGCCTGTCAGTCACTGAAATCCTGACCTCACGTGACCAAGATGGGACTTGATATCTAGAAAGAAGATTAGGATTTTGTCTGAATGATTGAATGACACGAGCGGCACACACACACACACACATAAAAGGGCAGAACCCAAAGGGTATGACTAGGTATTTATGGGGTCCATCTGAGTATTACATTTCTTTTCTACTCATTCCTTGTAAATAAAGTTGAAATCCCTCAAGGATGTAACTTGCTGAAAATGGAGGCCACTTGAAGACAGTACAATAGCTCATTCATCAACCTCAAAGGAAATCTGTGCCGAACAGTTTTTTGTAGGTTCTCTAAAACTATTCAGATGCAAAAAAAAAAAAAAATTCTCTTTACAAACGAAACGTGGCACTGGTTGGAAGTGTGAAATTCCAAATAAGAACCTCCAGGTCCTTGCTGATATACTAATGTAGCATAGGCTTCAGGTGAGCAACAACAGATATGCGCAGCACTGAAAAGTTGCTTGTTCTGCTTGGTAACAATTCGGTTAGACAACCAAGAGACATATCTCTTGCATGATCACCTCAAACAATCTCCAGTATGGTTCAGATAAGCTGAAAAATGAACAGGGTGGGGTTACCAGTTAGCACAAACGATTACAAAAAAGAATGCCTGTAAAAATATTGGTAAAGACAATCTTCCTCATGCCAAAATGTTTCTCAAAACCAAGTCAGTGACCCATTTTCAGAGTTCATCCTAAAATAATCCAAGAAATGTTTATAGTTAATACCATTTTAGGGGAGCAACTGTCCTTCACAGCAACTTCCAAAAATGTAAAAATTTCCAAATCTTTGTTCATCCAATCCTCACAGT